GTTGGGAGCACTGGAAGTGTACTATATGTACAAATACGAGAATAAACAAGATAAGATAGATGTGGAATACTTACAACGTTATACGGAAAATTTGCACGTAATCTCAGTGTCATTACAATAGCACCCTTTTTTATCAGTAATTTTTAATTGAAAATTATCATTTAGATGTATTACAATGAATTTTAAACGTTTGTTCCTTGCAGATACTTTCACTTTCTCTATTAGTTGTTTTGCTTTTTTTTAAATTCACTGAAAGTGCACTAATTTGACACATTACTATCCTTTACAGACTTCAAGGAGAAGAACAAAAACATTGAAGGCTAAGTGAAAACTGTATTTTATCCCCGAAATTTGTCAGTCATTTAAAAACGTTTTCGGTAGGAATTGCGAGGTTAAGCAGTAATTAAGTCGACGAGATGTAATAATATTTGGTTACGTTTGCGATGCCTACAGTGGTTACGTTTGCGATGGCTACAGCAAAGCGGAACATTTATGAAATGACGGGAATAGGAATATACTTGTGCAACAAAACTTAGCTTAGAACGTGTCAGAATGGTACACTTTTTCACTCTTTAAATGCACATTTTGTAAGTTGTAGTAAAATACATTTTAAAAATACAGTATGCTCTTATAATAACTCTGATGTTTTGTCAACTATTTCAAATACTTCTGGGAGAAATTTACTTTTTATCTGTTTTCTATTCTCTACGCGTTGTAAAGTGAATAGAGCAAACACTTAATCATGAAATATACTTAATTTTTAACCAAAATCCTTCAAAAAATAAATTTATATGCAAATGAATGAGTGCGAATTCTGTACATTGCAGCGATTAATGCAGATAAAACAAAATAAATTTCTAACAATAACAAAATCTTGAATTTATAAGTACATTTCTAACTTTTCTGATTCACAAATTACGGTTAGAAATGTTTTCATCTACATATTAATAATCAAAACAATCATCAATTACCAAGGCTCCTTTTTACTTAGTAACTTCATCACTAATATTAGTATATCTAAGACGGAAATTTGATCAAAAAAGCATGCGTCATATTGCGCAAAAAAGAGATCTTATAACGTCCGAATAATATTTTGAGCAACAATTTTGCTATTTGTATTCATCTGTAAAGTTTCGCGTTTGTAAAGGGTTCCAACAACCATAACCATAAAATAAACCCTGTACCGTAAGAAAACCAAAGAATGGCACGCGTTGAGCGTTTTGGATAAGTTTTGATTAGAAAAAAAAGTGGTAATCCCATATTATTGCATACTGAATGACTTATAATTGGTGCCAATATATTTCCTGAAATCATTCAGCTTTTTTTCTTTTTATGGACAGTTAATAGCATAATACTTAGCTTTTAAAATTCATATTAAAAAACAATATAATACAGCACAAAGCTATTTTAAAAATTATATAAATTGAATCATAATTTGATCAAAATAATTTTGAAAATACGAGTGAAATAAAATTACATGATTTCCGAAGTAATGCAACAAATACAGAACAAGACAAGCATAGAAATAAAATCTTTAAAATCATCTCTAAATCGCAAAACTTGTTTTCAAAAATTTCTTCAAAAGTTTCAGCCAAAAGTTTTGAAAGATTTTATTTAAGCGTTCTTTGTTGTACATAAAATACTACTATATAATGAATAATTGCAAAAAAACATACCAGTTCGAACAAACAAGAATGTCGCGTATGCACCAAAGAGATAAGAGTATGACATTTGAAATGCTGAAAACAGTAAAGAAAATGATTATAACGTATACAAAAATTGTAAAAAATACTCTCTCCAACTAAATAATTTAAAAAAAAATTACATTTTATAAAATAGATTTTGTGCACTGCAATTTTATTCTTATCATTTTTTTTCATTTAAGTGCACAAAACTTATTCGTTTTGTTTAAAATTGTAGCAAAAAAAAAATGGTAAATTTGTGTTTCAAAAAGATGAATAATATTAAAGTAAAGTCTGAATAGTACTGAACATTTAGCCTAAAAATTTGAATAGCTTACAAACAAACAGCAATAACATTTTCTTGTAAAGATTTACTTCTTCGGCTCATCGCTTCATATTTGCTATATCCTCTTTTCATATCATCAAAAATGTGATGTAAATGACTGAGCGCAAATGGTATTGGAGCAACAAATATAGTAGTAGTAGATGAAAGACATTGTAAAATTAAAGTTGAAGCACAAGCACGAAATGCTACTTCTTCTGTTACAGGTGCCTTTAAATAACAAGTTTTGCATCATAAAAAAACTTTCTCTACAATATTTCAAAAATTACTACAACATTAATAATTAATAAATAATCAAAACAATTAATTAGCAGTTTTTTTTCAAAACTTACCAATAATATATTTCGAATCCATATGATATTTGATGCATTTCGCTTCAACTCATTCAAATCTGATTAAAAATTAATAACAGCTCGGTAAATCTAACTTTTGTATCAATAATATAACATCAATGATATCATTTACTCTACCATTTTAATAATCACAAATAGTATCATTAAATAATATTTTTATTGTTTTATATTATCCTGCTTAATTTCTAGAACAAATTGAACTTAAAATACCTGAATGATCAACTACATATCACTGATTTGTCACTGATATTTACAACATTCTACTCTTTTCGTCATTTGTGAAATTAAGTTCTAATTTATTCAGTACTCGGATTGTTTGTTTTCAGACCAGAAAATCGAATTACTCACGAAATAAGCATCGCAGGTTATTGTCAATATACATCATTACCCAATTACCCAAATAGCATATACAAGTCAGTATTGTGGGTAACAAACATGCTGTATAGATGCCTCGGGTATGTATGCCCATTGTGGACAGCGGCGATTCGTGATGCTGCAACAAACAATTTAAATTATTAATTTTCCTCTTCAAATAAGCAAGTTTTATTGCAAATCACTTTTAATTCACGTTATTCTAAAAAAAATTCCGAGTAACTTCAGCTTTGCACTTTAACGCTAATCTCTAAATAGCAATTTTTGAATAATAATAACCAATAATAGTAATGTTTTTAATTGTTTCATTACAAAATTCAATTATATACAATAATATTATGATAAGCGACAAATTCATTAGTAAATATGTGATTCAAAGTAAAGAATTAATGCAATCAAATGTACAAATATTTTGAGAACTTTAACTAAAATAATAATTATTTGCAGGATGAGGCTTACACCTTGTAAAGAACGCTATATGTGCACGCAATACTAGCAACATTATTCACAGTGGCACCAAGTAAGCGCCGTTTGATACTTTCTGGATTATCACGATCCATACCACCATAATCAAACGTGTATAGAAGAGCTACGTATGATGACGAGATTGCTGTTGCAAGAGGCAGATACCACAAAACGCTCATTCACAAAAAAATTAGCGTTTACAGCTGATTATACGTCTGCCTATTCCTGTAAATAAATTTTCGCATATTAGCGAATATTTTCAAATTATATAAGTTCATAAAATGATGCCTTCTAGTAATGCTACAGTTTACACCATCAATAATCCGTCAATACTGGTAGATAAATATTGTAGTGATGGAAATTTTAACAATAAGAAATAAGATCATACTGGTACCACAAAATACTCATCCCACTACATGCGAACTAATATTTTCACGATATCGTAAGTAATAAAGTCGCATCTTTAAACCACAAATTTTATTATTTACAGCAATAAAAAGTGTGATAGAATCTAAGGAAGCATTATTTCATACCGAATCAAATTTAATAATGCAGTAATTTTGTAGTCTACATTATTATATAACTTACTGTAATAAAATAAGTCTATATCTAACAGCTCAATTTTGACGCGGAGAAGCAAAAGCTGATTAAAAAAAACATGAAATAGATGTATTTTCAATTAAGTTAAGATGCTGAATCCAATTAATCATTAATTATATCAGAAGTCACAAAAAATATAGAATACTATTTATAAGAACCATTAAATCCTGCATCTACCTCTTCAATCAAATACTAATTAATGATATCAGATCAGTTTTAATCTAGTTTTCTAGCATTTAGTAACAAGTTTTCCATATTCATCCGCTGTTGTAATATATCACAGGAAGCACACAAAATTAAGAAAGTACAAAATAAATAGATATTAGGGGATTTTTATTGTAGCAAAGATAAATGAGCTTTTTAATGAGCTTGACGTGAAGATGCAGAAATACCTCGTCGATTCTAAGCAAAATGAAACACAGCTTAATTATCAATCTAATCTAATGTTCATCATTTCCACAGAAAAATTCTATCTTGCAAAAATATAAATACTGCCTGAAAATATAAATACTCTGAAAAAGGGAATAGATAAAAACAAATAAGACTTAACACAAATTCTTGAAATTTTCACAACATTTCAGCATTGGAGCGATGCAATATAAATTATTATCGCCATTATTGTATTACCATATACGAATATTTGATTTCAGGCGCAGAACAAATTGGAATAAATTATTTTAGTTAAAATCTCTGAGAAATTTTTCAAAGCAAACAAACTACTGCTAGTGAACTTCCCTCAACTTAGCATTATTTCTATAAATTATATTACTGCTAAAGACATCTTGTATAATATCAGTCTATTACTAAATTCTAATTTGATAACAGTCATTAATCAGTTTTTGAAAAAATTAATTCATAAAAAAGAAGAACCACCACTACTTAAACTATTAATAATAGTTTTGAATAAATTTTTAACAATTAAAACATCTTATCTGTTCTGATACTTTCAATTCTATCTAGAATTTATCTATTATTTAAGCACCAAAATTTAAAAACAACCACAAAATAAACTAACGTACTTTAAATACAACCAAATAATCTAATAACATGAGTAAAATACACAACTACATGAATAATAATAATAACAGTGGCCTCATTATCATTATAACAATAATAATAACGAGGCCAGAACTAATATATTACAACAATAATAATAATAAGGCTAGAACTTTGCACGGAGGTTATTCTCTTATTTTATTATTATTATCATAATAACAATAATAATAATAATAATAATAATAATAATAGAATAAGACATCTCATGCAAAAATTGTAAAAAAAAAAACTCATAAAATATGTAAGAAAGATTACTATTTAAATGTGTGAGTAGCTGCAAGAACATAATGCACAATTATTTATTTTCTTCTAATAGTGCTACTTTTTCCAGAACAAAATTGAATGAGACAGAAAGCAAATAAAAGGCAGTCACGAAATGATTTTTTTTACGTCTAAACTTTGTTTAAAAAAGTATCGAAAAAAGTCAAAATATAGACGTCTAAGTTGCTGGATATCACTTAATTTATGAAATGGAAAAAGTGCTCAATTCCTTTTCATTCCTTATACTTTTTGCAAAGTTTCTATTGACTATTTACTCTAAATAAATCTTCTAATGACCAATTTTATTATTTATATTTTTTGTCTCAGATTCAAGTAATAAAGCAAACGAAAATTAATAATACATCAACAATTTTCTCTATGACTATTTAGTAGTAATCTCGAGCTATTAATTATTAATTATTAAAATTAATTACAAGTAAATAATCTTTAAAAGTTTGTAAATTCTTCAGAACATACATAACTGTTATTACTCTAAAAAATCTTCGGAAAAAGCATATTAAGGAAGTACTCGCTGTATGGGCTACTTCACTACAACTGAAAAAATCTCAGAATAATAATAAATTACGCTGATAATTCATGGAGGAAAAAAAACAAAGAACTAGATAGGACTGTAAAATACGGTCGAAAAATTAACTTCTGAAGAGCAAGAAATAAAATTTGCACAGCTCTGAATCAAACTTACACCTACGCACTTCTTGTTCTGCTATCATCTGCTGCTAATGTTAATCTCAAAAACTAATCTAATTTTGTAAATATTTAATTACTCGTAAGCAAAGCCATCACAGCCCCGAAACTTTAGCTGTTTCAAAAACGACCCAACTGTAACACAAGAAAAAGTCCAACGTTAGACATTCAATTAATGAAGAAAAAAGAAATGCAAATAAGAAATAAAGCTAGAAGTTTATAACAAATCTCACCTGCTAAGAACTCCGATTATTACTCCTTAGTCCACTCAAATTTAAACATGCACAAAGTTGTCAAGTTCAAATCTTAAACCCCTGTTAAAATACTCGACGAATGCTGTAAAATCACAAGCTTATTTTCCATAAAATCCATGTTGTAAATCCTAAAGTTCACTGCTACTTTTTATTTCTGCACCAAAAAAAAACAATATTTATATCATTAGAAGAAATTAAACAACATATATTTAGTTGATTACAATCAAAAATATAACACAAAAACAAAAACAAAAACTAAAACATGGAACTCTGAGCATAAATAATACAACCAAGACAAGAAAGAGCTTTTATTAGGCAGAAGTAAGAAGAATAAACATACTGCTAAAGTGAGACTAAATATAAAAAGGAAAAACAAAATACATCACTACTTAATCATCAGAATTTGCACCAAAAATTTTGCAACTTCATGCATGTTTCTTTAATTAAATGTAAGATTAAGGAATGAATTTAAAAAATATACCAAAAAAGGCAAAAATGATAAATGATTTTTCAAAAAGTAGCTAACATTTTCAAATAAAAAAAAATATCCATGTAGAAAACATTTCTAGCAAAAATTCATAGCTTAATTAAGTAATGAAAGAAGCAAATAAGGCTGTGAGTTATAATCAATCATACATCACAAATCATTATTACTTTACAAACTATCAACATATAACTCATTTTGATATAGAAAAGAGAATTAATTCTTCTCAACAACCAAGGCTGTACAAACTGGTACGGAGAGAATTGCCTTTTTATCAATAATTATTTTACCTGTTTGTTGCTTTAAAACAAAATATGCCGATAAAAATCTAAAAAACTGATGCTGACAAGCTTGTTGCTTTTGTTAATCATAGAAATATCCAAAAACGAAATATGAACACAAATACTACTAAAAAATGCTATTTTAAGTGATAGAAATAAGTGAATAGTTTAATAATAAAATGCATATATTTTTTAAACATCTATTTCTTCTTAAAAATACAATAGATATTTTTAGTGTAACTAATTTTAAATTCTACTTTCTTATACATTAACGAAATATATGATTATTTTTTATTTTTTAATGAGTATTTAACATATCAAAACCCTACTAAGTTACTAGAGCTGCAAGCTATGTGGCATCAAATTTGTCACGATTTTCAATAATTTACTTTCAAACTGTATCGAACATGTGGACACAATTGTTGAGAAAATGAATATACTGCTATAGAAAGAAGTAACAATGATAATTTTAACGACAATCTATTGTTGAACTATAAGAAAATCAAATGATGTATGAGTGCAAACATTCCTGAACTATATTTAATCCTGGATATGCTTGCGTCAATAACAATCGCAATGCAATTAAGTTGTAATTACTGCTAAGCTGAAGGAATAAATAAAGTAACCTATATCATTACTGGTTTTTTGAAAAAGTGTTTAATAATTTGTAAAAATTTTCAGTAATTTAAAAAAAACGTACAATATTTCATCCGTAAATTACAAAATTCAAATTTAAAGTCGTGACTTTAAAACCACATCCTAAAGCCTTAGCAGAAATTTTTAATAAAATTAATTGGTAATCAGTTGTTGATACAAGAAACCTGAAAAGAGAACTTTCAGGCTACAAAACAGGGTCATTTTTAACCACCATAACGAGTTAGAGATATTGTATTTGGTTGACTCATCATTCGAATATCATATCTAAAAAGAAAGTATGATAAATACATATCAGGCACTTTGCATGCCTTAAGATCAAGACTTAGTTCATAAGTTAATCTTATAATATATATGACAATGAGTGGCAACGTGATGTGTAATGAACAAGACATGAAGTCGCGTTCTCTCAGATTCAGCAAAACTATGGACATAAGTACTTGAACTTGATTTCACGTTCTTTTTCACCAAATTCATTTATTTTTCTAACACACAATAGAAATTTTCAACTAAAAATGTAAAAAGTTACCTCCCAATTAAGTAAATTTTATAGAGATAAAGAGACTTACTGCAAATCAAACGGGATCAAATCTGCAAACATTTCGTGAAACCCATGCTGTATTACAACAGCAGCAGACAGGTCTTTTAGTGAAGGTGCTGAAATACCCTTAACGTTTATTGGGAAGACTAAATTCCCAATTTTTATGCTATATATAAAAAACAAGTCAGTTATGTGAAACTTAACTACTTAAAATTAACTGATATAAGCTAGAAAAATAACAATAGTTCCCATGTTACCTTCAAATTCTATTCAAATCCTAACTATTAAAAATGGCAAAAATGAAGCAAAAAATTATCGCCAACAAACCATAATCGAGCACATGAAGATCTGAGAGATTCGAAAGACCATTATTGATGAGTTCAGCTTTTGATGACTTGCAAGGCCTGTATCATGAATCACAAACTTTAAACAAAATTTCAGAATAAAAGGAATTTATTTAGTTTTAATCTCATTTTTGCACGTGTTTTTCAACACTCTACAACAAATACAATTTGTTGATATAAAACACAGTGTCATACAATACAATTTTATGCTAAGTAACAAAAGCATATTAATTACTAATGAAACCATGATTTAAATTTAGAATTCAAGTAGGTTTTCCCATATTAAGCTCAGAAATTCTTTTTTAAACAGAACTAACATAGTGCCACCGAACAAAAAGACGCGACTGGCGATAACAATTGCGCATTGTCGTCGCCTTGGTGACGGACCACTACCGTATGGTTTAAGTAGGCGCCAACATGATGTTCCGGGATCGAATTCATGCAAATCATTCAGATGTCTATTTTCGGTGCCCATATATCCACCAAATATATACATTTTGTTATTGTAGACCCATGAAATATAATTTGAATTACGATCAAGTGTAATTTATGTTTTAAAATTGGCAACCCAAATAATGACAAGTTTGCATTATTTATTGCAAGAAATATGCAAAGATCATTTACATGAAAAATGACAAAGCTTACAAGCACTATGACTCCGTCGTCCACAGGGTAAATCACCAGTTACTTCTGGATCCTCCCAACGGTATGTTTCCAAATTCAGCACTTTTAGTGCGTTGGAATAATAATCTTGTGAACTATGAAATTCACTGAGTAAATCGCTACGTCCGCCGAACACATACATTTTTCTATTGATTATGCAAGCAGTATGAAAATCCCTCCATCGTGGGAACTGACCCTGCAAGTAATTTAGCTAAAAGAAGTAATTTTGCTGATTAAATTTCAGAAAAAGTAACTTTAATAGAGCAAGTTCATTAGCCCAATGTATTTATTTTATAAAAATAATCTGGTAAAAAATATAATTTGAAATTAAAAGTACAAATTTCTGGTAAAAAAGGTAGCGTAACATACTGTTGTTTGTAACTCGTACCATAATTCTTCTTTGAAATTGTATGCATACGTTTCTTGACTGAATCTAAAATTGATAAAGATAATTAAAAAATATTAAGTTAGCATATTTACAGTTTATAGCATTTTATACAAGATACTATCAAAGAGTAAATGGTGTTTGTTATAAAGAAACCACCTCCATTTTCGATTTACTTAACATAAATCACATACTAAAAATAAAAGATCCAGCACAAAATTCGATCTCTGATAACCAAAATAAAAAGGTATTTGTCTTAAATTGTGATTCAAATTATAAATTCCAGCATATTCCTACGCTCTAAACATGATGATGCGTAAAAGAAAGGAAGCGTTTCTACTTAAAGTGATAAATCTGAACAAAAAGTGAAAAATACCTCTGAGATTGTTCTTCAAAACCGCCAAACATATACAGAGTGTCATCCAAAACCACAGCACTATGACCATCGCGTGCTGGTGGTATCTCACCACGACAGGGAACAAGGGACCAAGATATAGTTTCTAAGATCGAGCCGTAACAGTTATTAATTTTTGCAAAAATTTGGGAATTTCGGAACATAACAGACAACATTTATATGGGAATTTTGGAACATAACAGACAAGCTGCTTATAATTTTAGTTCTCTGAAAAAGTATAATTTAAAATGCAATTTCAAACTAATGTTGTTGAGCTATTTTTTTAAACTTAACAAGTCATATTTGTTTTTCAACATAAAAAAATAAAAAGAAAAACTTACTTGGATCAAAGCAATACATCTTCGAGCATGCACCAAAATCGTCATTTCTACCTCCCCACAAATATGCTTTGTTCTTATAAACAACAACCGCATGACCGTATCGTTGGTAAGGTATATTACTTTGTGATATGGATGAATCATTTTCGTCTGTTGAAACAGGAAGTTTACGCCAACGACAGGTTTCTGTAATTATAAACATTCACTTCGTCTTATTTCTGTAATAAGCAAGCTAGAAAGCATTAACTCGAACAAAAATCAGAAGTAAAAAGCAGTAAAAGTAAACAATGAAACAACTAGATTACACTACGTGAAAAAGCCTTATAGTTCAGAAATTGAAAAAATAAAAAAATCATAAAACATAAATCTGAAAGGATATAAATTCGATAAATCCTGAACTAAAAGCTCAAACAGATTGCCAATACAACACGGAGCCAACGAGAAACAGATTTGCTTACCAAGACGTGAAAAATGATATAATGAGAGAACTTTTTTTATTATGATCTTAAAAATGGATTTACTCAGTGTTTTCATTAACCTGTTAAACCAACTTTACTTAATAAAAAAATTTGACTTGATAATTTTATTATATAGTAAACTTATGATATAAAATTATCTACAGGAAAAATATTTTCACGTAATAATTTTATGTGCAATAGATTTTAGTTATAAACAACACCTTTGGTTTAACTCTTTCTTTTTATTTTATTTTTTTGATTTCTACGAAAACTGTAAGACTAATACGAGCTCCTGAAAGACGTAAAAATTAATACATGGGCGAAAAACTTACTTGTATCTAAAACATGTACATCAATAGGCTGTCTACCGTCGTATACTTCATTCGAGTAGTAGCCTCCGAAAGAATAAATTTCATCGTTTAACGCAACAGCTGCGTGATTTACACGTCTTGGCCCACCTTCTAGACACATAGTCCAATGCATTTTAATTATAAGAGCGTTTTCTGAAATGTTCAATATTTTGTTTAAAAAAGTAATCAAATTTTATATAATAACGTAATTACACAAGCATTGACTTAAGATAAAAAAAGGCTTAAGTAACAAATATTATTGGAATTTTATTACTTCGATTATTTTTTTTCCATATCTTCAAGTCCTTTTTAAGTAAATCATAACACTTTTGTTACTTAAGCCTTTTTTATCCAAAGTATTTCCTGCGTCTACAAAAGTGCTTATGTATGCATTGACAGTGTAATGTATTGTTTTGTATAGTACTGACTAACTGTCAGTACAAGCAATACTATCGCTGGAATATATCTTTATTAACTACAAAATGTCTTTTTCGTGTCGTTTTCGTTATCTTAAATATTTTATCAGTATGAGAAAGAGATAAGCTAATATCCATAAATAATTAGTGCACTTAACTGATGCAAAAGTTCCTAAGATAAAATCAGATAAACACATTGTATAGACATATGACAAGAAACTTGTGCTTATTTAAATGAAACAAAAATACATTAATTCAAAATACCGAAAATAACCTTTAAACTCATACCATCTTTGAACTTTATATTGAACTAACAAGTCAAATAAATAGCTAATTTTGGATAAAAATAGTATAATCGACGTAAGTGTGAACTTTTAGCGCACACATGAATGAAGCAAGCAAATATAGAATATGTAATTAACTGTGATAAGTATGAAAACTGTAAAAAAATAAAATTAACGAAGTTACATGGAAAATATAGAAAAAACAATTATGACGAAAAATTTAAGTGAAGTTTTTTTCTCTAACATTAAAATCACGTGCATTATCACGTCTTCACCGTTTGAAACGTTTGATTTGCTTGTTGCTCTACTAAACATGCATGCATTACTCAATTACTTTGCAGCTGTCTGAGTCAGTCGAAAACGTCAGATTAAATTTAACATGACATATTTGTCCGTCTATCATACCTTATTATTACTTGAGGCATATCAGTGATGACGACAAACAGTATATACATGTAGAAGGTCTTAGGCAGCTTTCTAAAGTATGAAATTCAACTCAAAACTCAATTTAACTCGTCTTTTGCTATGTTAATAATGTTAAAAAATAACAATACATCCTATATAATACGCAATTATCCTCAAAACCTCAGAGCTTTAAAATTTTCAATTCTTTTGAAAACAAATAGTCATAATTTTTTCAATGATTTATCGAAAGAATACTAAAAGGTCAAAGGTCTGACGAATAATTATTTGCAGCAATTAATACGAAAATACTGCGAACAAATCTATTAATTTTACGCTTAATATCATGGAGTTCGATCCAAGATAAATATCTAATGTGATATCAGATTTTATACAAAATGTAGAATGAAAGAGAAGGAAAGTTTGCATAACAAACACCGCCTAATCCTTATATCTTTAAACTAAGGTGGCAAATGTTTAAAATCAATAAAGCATAAATTCTTAAACAAAAATAAGACAAAACTTTAATGACATAGATTGTAACTAGCATAAAAACAACCTTCGGATGAGTATTAATCTTTGTGTAGTAATTTTTCTCATAATTCTGTCATGTTATGCGACATATGTGGCATAATATAAGACACAAAAGTTCGAAAGTCACTAATTTCTTATACAAAAATATTGATACACATATGGATTTTGTGGGATCAATTCAAAGTGAACTATTCAATCAAAAAGCAGCTCCTATGCAAACAGTTATTCGTCAGACCTTTCACCTCAGACAAAATCATGAATACTTGCTCAGTGGGAGATTTATAGTCATTAATGCTCATAAAAGTGAACGAAAGTCTTTGTATTAGCTTAAAATCAGTTTAAATTAATATTATAATTGCAAATAGTTTTTCATCAATTTAAGATTAAGATTAAAAATCAATATCGAAAATACTTTCTCTCATAATCTGATTATTGATTTCATATAAACGAACAATATGTAGAACTATGAGTAGCGCTGAAAGTAATAACTCTAATCAGTTACTCATACTTATTTACGTACGTACAGCAAGTATTGGAGGAAGAAAAAGTAAAGGTTATTTGCATTGGTTTCATGAGATGAACCTAATACATATATATATATATATATATATGCCTGTCTAGCAAGCAGTAAATATCCAATTTCTCATGAGATAGATAGATATGCAATAATAGCAGTTAGAGGTAGAATGAGATAAGAATAGATGATAAGAGGACAGGTTGTTAATACCTTCTGGTTGGTTACTCCCAAGCTTGTAGGTGTTTCCCTTGTAAATAGTCCTCATCAAGCAAAAACCTTACATTTTACAAATTTAATTCGCTTACAGATGGATAGATCGATGAACAGATAAATAGGCAGATAGATGGATACATGTATAGATGGATGGATGGATGGATGGATGGTTGGATGGTTGGATGGATGGATAGATGGATGGATGGTTGGATGGTTGGATGGATGGATGGATGGATGGATGGATGGATGGTTGGATGGTTGGATGGACTAAGTGACGGACTACCATCTGCTTCATTTGTTTGTTGCATTTGTATGTATGTGTGAGGGTATGTTTGGTTCTATTCTCTGTGAGTTAAGTAATGTTGCACAAGTACATCGATGTAAATTTGGTATGCCCAAAGACTATAATAATCATAATAAGAAAACTTTCAGCAAATATATAGGTTTCTAGAAAGTTACAGGTCAAAGGTAATGTCTGGTATTAATGCGAAAATCAAAAGTAATGTCTGGTATTAATGCGAAAATCAAAAGTAATGTCTAGTATTAATGCGATCAAAAGTAATGTCTAGTATTAATGCGAAAATCAAAAGTAATGTCTGGTATTAATGCGAAACAAGTTGATAAAATGATAATTACTTTAAGCCCATAATTTAGGCGTACACAAAGAATAGATTAATTTGAAGATTAGGTTTTTCTTCCGATGGTAAATGAGAGCAGAAAAATCATTAATCAACAAATGCTATCATCTGAGATTGCTCAGGATTAATTTTGAAATATCATTTTAAATTAACAAAAAAGTACACTTCCATTACTCTTTCACTTTAACAATAATAACAAGTATAATAATAATGACAATAATAATAATAAAGTGTATTAATTATGAAATAAATAGATAGATAAACAAATGAATAAATAATGATAATAATAGTAATAAAGTGCAGTAATAATGACAG